CTCAGATATCTGTTGTTAGAACACTATTCATAACGAAAAACGAATTTGACAATATCGGATACCTATGTGAATCGGTTGCTGATGTGTAGCAGCGGAAAACGTTTGAAAGGTTTCCAATACTTCGGAAACCTTCAATAGGCTTTCTGGATCGCCAGCTGACTTGATTACTTGTAAGGATTTCAGATAAATTTCCGAACGCTCGAAAACCCCTTCACGGAAACCTATAAAGGGTTTCATATAGTGATAAACCCGGAAACCTCCTACTCGTTTCCCAGAAAACGGATTTATTTAGAGTGTAGTTACACAAAAGAAACCGTTCTGAATTTGTTGATTTAGTAATTGTAGGGTAACCCTTAAACTTTCAACTTTCGAGCAGTCATCCTATTCGGCAGTGTTGAACATTCCGGAACCAGTTCCGTCGATTCCGGAATTTAGTCAAGCCTGAACATTGTGCGATTCCGGAATTAGGTGAAAGTGGAATCATTGGGAATTCCTAGGAATTACACCTTGGTTCACTATTCTATCTTCTCTTATCCATCTAGAGATGATCCGATTCCGGTCCGGAATTTTGGAATTAGGCGAAAGCGGAATCGGTGGGAATTAGAAGGAATTCCGTTCAATTCCGCTCAATTCCTGTTCGATCTAATTCCCGGAATTCCGTAACGGAATTGCATTCATCGCCGAGAAGTAAGATATATCAATTGTCCATCAATCACTCAATTCCGGAATCGCACGGAATTCCGTGTAATTGCGTTCAATTCCGCTCAATTCCTGTTCGACCTAGTTCCCGGAATTCCGTAAAGGAATTGCAGGGTGAAGATGTTGTAATGATACGAAATGTTTTATCCTGATATCGAACTGTTTTATTTCAATCACCCTTCTCCTTTTATAATTACACTTTCTTTCTCCGGGTCGCGTCACTCAACCGGAGAGAACGTGAAAGAACACGACAAAGACGAAGAGAGAATACACATGACAATGAGGAGAAATTCGTTATGTACATTGCTTAGGATAGAACGAGTGCTTATCTCAGCACAGATATCAATGTGGGTATTGAGATAAGTGTGGGTGTCAGTCTAGGTGCAGTGAATTCCGGAATTGAGCCGGAAGGGATAAACGGAATTCCGGGAATCAGATGGAGGTGGTAGGCAGTGACTCCGGGAATTCCGGAATTGTGTTGCAAGTGATCAGCAGAATCGCCGGAATTAGATGGAATTAGGGGTGTCACTTTATCTTTATTTTCCTTTGAAAAAGTAAAGTAAAGTAAAGTGAAATATATTTATCTTTCTGGAGAAGTAAGATGAAGTAAAAAAGAGATAATGGAAAGCATATAGCTGTTTATTATTGACTGATTTTTTCATTGTGACACATTAAAGGGCTTCCAATATGTCAATATTTGTTTTAAATTACGGACTTAGCGTCCTAAAAACTCTGACCATGATTTGATTAGTTTTAGAATTGATATGAGCCCTGATTATTTTTCAAAAGTTTATCTTATCCTTGATCACTACTCAATTTCCCACATCAAGATCCTCTCCATCTGTCTAAAATCCTTTTTGATCGTCGTTTTGATATTAATATTTGTAGTTCGATAGTACTAAATACCTCGAATACGAATATCAATTTATTTTCAAAGTACAGTTGGATAATAAGAAACATATCAAGCACTCCCAGAAAGTCTTACAAGGTCAGTTTTGACCTGAAGGCTCGTTAAAGCGTGAATAAGTTTTGTCAATCATAGGGTCACATGATGCAAAAGTCTTCTATCGGTGAAAATAAATAGGAAGCTACCAAATATTCAATGTTTTTTCATGGATGATAGTCAAGCACTTAGAGACTTGCAAGTTGATGGCGGTTGCTTTTCGCCAATACTTAGATGACGCATTTTAGTTGATTAAGAATCATTCTAGTACGTGGTAACAATAATTAAAGATCATTCATACAGCTTTAAAATCCACTAGGCAGTATAAGAAGAGCAAACAAGCAACCGTGATTAGGGCAAAAAATGCCGCTTCATACATCCGTAGATTAAATGTAAGAATGCAAGGGAATGCTAGCACTATTTGTAGCTCGAACTCGTTCCTGCGGATTTTATAAAAATCTTAGAAGGGTAGCAAATATAAGGGAAAAGCAACAACTTAATTTTAGTAAGGAAACAGGATATATAAAATAGACACTAAAGCCAATAAGAAACAATAAAATTGAGACTCGGGCTAATGGAAAAATGTAATCGGGCTCGGGAGTAAAACAATAAGTGTGTTTGCAGATCATAAAAATATCGCTTGATGAGTTCCTATTGTCCCTCATAGTGATTTTTCCGGACCTATGGAAAATAGCTTATATGAATGCACTGACGATATGTTTGAACGAAATATAAAGCTCATTTCTTTCTCTCTAATTATTCTATTTCCGGCTTGATTTTCACTCTCTAATGAAGCGCTTTTGCTCTAGCCCACTATACTTGACAGTCACTGTATTGTTTTTTTTATCGATATTTGACAGTTTTCCAGCAGAAAAACCACATATGACTCCAAATAAGTAGCATGCTTCGAATCAGTAGAATAAATTGAGTCGACTTATATAATTTTTCATTTATTTCTGTAACTATTCTTGTTTTGGACAAATGATAATTCTGGTCTACCTCTCCCTCTGGATTAAATGGGAAACTGAACTTCATCGTAAGCCGTTTGGATAATGTAAACGCAATTCAGTAGTTTAAAACTGTAACTGATAGGTCAAGTCAGAGCTGTCTAGTTATATAAATGGTGCCTTTTGGTAAAATTTATTTCTATACTTAACCTTGCGGCAGACTAGAGTCGGATGACCTAATTCTGCCGGTAAAAAAGATATCTTTTGTATTTCTTTTATAACTCGAGTTACATATATCGTAGAAAAGTCATTGTTTCTTTCCGAGATAGAGCCAACATTTCTCTATCGAATGATATAAGATTGTTCACAAAATAATAAACGAATCACATCAGGGAAGGGTGACAATAGAGATGGGGCCAACATTCATTCGATTCTTATGTATTCCTAATTCAGCCGGTCAATGTATTTTTTTTCCTAATCCTGCCGATTACATGGAAAACTGCAGTAAATTTTAGAAAAAGCTTATTATTTTCATGAAGTTGATAGAATATATTTAAAAAAAAATGTATCATTCGGTTCGTCTTGAGATGGACTATCTGCTGATATGTTTTTCTTGATGATTCATAAGCATTATACACATTTGTTTTTTG